CCCCCTCCTCTACACTAGAGAAACTGTGAGAGTTGTACTTGCAGATAACATCAGCTGTGGGATGTGCCAGCTTCAGGAGCTCCCTCCATGAACTGAAGCTGCATTGCCATGCAGCCAGAGACTTACCACCTAGAGGGCTGTGAAGATTTCTCCAACAGTCAGCTCTCAGCATCCTCCCGCTCCACACTGCCTTAACTGTTCACTGCCTCTCTCGTCTCCCCTCGGTGCCTGCAGGCAGTGCCCTCAGCCCTGCTGCGCTTGGCAGAGGAGCTGCTCCTGGGCAGAGCTGTCTCTCTGCAGCGCTGCCCACTTGCCATCAGCTCCCTCCATCCCCGGAGCCCAGCCCCAGCAGCAGAGGACCAGCCCAAGGCAGCGCTTGCTCTGCCCCTCGGGGCTCCCTCCAGGTGTCCCTGGGGCTCCAGGGGAACCTGCTGTGACACAGGCTGAAGTCATCCCCAATGTTCCCTCCCTCAGCTGGGGAGAGATACTGATTACCAGCACTGTAATTTCTCCTACGAAGTAGAGATTTGGGCATGAGAATTGCCTTTGCTTGTCCCATCATTAGACAGGACACACAGAGAGTTACAAGGAGGGATCTCCTTTACCCCTGCTGAGGGAAGGGATGCAGATGAGTCAATCAAGGCATCTCATTTGTGGGTCTGTAGTCCTGGGGCTAGAAGAGGAGTCAGCTCCCTCCCATGCACAACACAAACCAACAGGAGGTGAGGTTCCTCTTGCCTCAGATGTTCAGGTGTGCACAAAATAGGCACCTGCCTGTGAGCTCCTTGTCTCAGCTCCCATGGTGATTAATGGGGATGGAGAGCAGGACCGGGCTGTTCAGACACAGCACCTGGTGACATTTCAGGTGTCAGGGGTGACTGAAGATATGTGCAGGCAACTGCAAGCTCTCATGGAACAGTTCATAGAGACAGGACAATGTCGGGTGGAGTCTTCTTAGAGGCTGCTGGGAATTTTCTTTGGCACACTGTAATGACAGCTGACGCCCAAATTAGGGCAACTGAACCTGTCATGATGAACTCATGATGCTCAGGGCAGCCTTTAGAGTTATTTGGCTGAACAAGTGAAGTCATGTGCCACAGGGAGAGCTCAGGTTCACTCTTTCTCTTCTCCACCAGCTGTATTTACTGGGTCCTCACTCACTGTATTGGCAGTTGCCTCAGGTTCATCCCCAGATTGCCTGATGGAATTCTGGGTGTCTACTCAATTTGGTTTTTAAATTCAGGCCCCCAGAGCTGCATGAGATGCCAAGGCTTGCAGAGACAGCACAGGACCAGTGATGAATGGCGTTCCTCAGGGGTCAGTATTGGGACCAGCACAGTTTAAGAACTTTGTCGGTGATGTGGACAGCGGGATTGAGTGCACCACATCAAGTTTGCTGATGACACCGAGCTATGTGGTGTGGTCGACCCTGTGGAGGGAAGGGATGCCATCCAGATGGACCTTGACAGGGCTCGTCTGAACCTCAGGAAGTTCAACAAGGTCAAGTGCAAGTCCTGCACATGTGTCAGAGGAATCCCAAGCACAAATACAGGCTGGGCGGAGAATGGATTGAGAGCAGCCCTGAGGAGAAGGACTTGGGGACATTGGTTCATGAGAAGCTCAACGTGGCCCACCAATGTGTACTTGCAGCCCAGAAAGCCAACTGTAGCCTGGACTGCATCAAAAGCAGTGTGACCAGAAGGGCGAGGGAGGTGATTCTCCCCCTGTACTCCAATTTTGTAAGACCCCACGTGCAGTACTGTGTTCATCTTTGGGGCCCCCAACGTAAGAAGTACATGGACCTGTTGGAGCAAGTCCAGAGGAGGATTGCAAAGATAATCAGAGGGCTGGAGCACCTCTCCCAGGAAGTCCCGCAGAGAGAGTTGGGGTTGTTCAGCCTGGGCAAGAGAAGGCTCCAAGGAGACCTTACAACAGCCTTGCAGTACCTGAAGGGGGCCTACAGGAAAGCTGGAGAGGAACTTTTACAAGGGCATGTAGTGAGAGGACAAGGGATAATGGCTTTATACTGAAAGAGGGTCAATTTAAATGAGATAGAAGGAAGAAATTCTTCACTAGGAGGGTGGTGAGGCACTGGCACAGGTTGCCCAGAAACATCTTGAAGGCCAAGTTGGATGGGGCTTTGAGCAACCTGGCCTAGTGGAAGGTGTCCCTGCCCATGGCAGTGGGGTGGGAACTAGATGATCTTTATGGTCCTTTCCAACCCAAACCATTCTGTGATTCTATGGCCAACAGGAAAGCAATGGCTATTCAGGGTGGGTGTGTGATAGGCAACCCCAGGCGGCACTGCAAGGAGTGCAATTTGGTGCCTGTGTGCCATTGACTGATGCCATCGGTCAGAGACATCAGTCATCAGATGCCATCAGAGAGGCAAGGTCTGGCCTTTCTCTATCCAACAGCTGCAGACATTGCATGGACACATAGCACATCACACCGGGGTCTGTGCTCACACCCTTGGTGACAGAGCCAAGGAACAGAGGAATCCTTTTCACCATGTGCCTGGATACATCTTGTCTTCAAAGAAAATATCCTCCAGGCACAGCAATGCTTCATACCAAAACTCAGTTGAAACTCAAAGGGGCGTTCAAGGGCACCAAGATGAGCTGTTCCTACTTCAGGAACAGCTAAAGAAGAATCAGAAATAGCGTGGGAGCACAGCTATATTTAGTTAGAGGAGGTAGATGGATTATTGCTGCATCCTCTTTGTCTCAGTTACCACCAGCAAGGTCTCCCAGGCCTTTGTGCAGTGAGGCAGAACACTGGAAGAGAACAACCAGCAGTGGATGGGGGTCAGGCCAGGGGTTACTGGAGCCAACTACACCCTTACCAGTCTATGGGCCTGAAGGGGCTGCAGCCAAGGGTGCTGAGAGAGTGTTCTTCCCC